CGAGCCACACCATATAACTCTCTTGAACAAGCACTCAGTCATGATGATCAATTTGCCAAGAACTGTTTTACTGCCACAGTAAACAAAATCCACGTCTTCCAAAAACRAGTGCATGACCACATCRCAAAACACATGCACCAATTACCTTGTGAGCTCCCAAACCATCCCGTCAACGATTGGACCTTTGACGCTACACCCATCAACGTCATCAAAGCTCAAACCCAACGTCTCCTATGGCACCAACGCCTTGGACACATCAACGACGATTACTTGTACAACGCTCACAAGTTCATTGATGGYATCCCAAAATTTAAACACAACGATCCGATCCTTGATAAATGCCCTACGTGCATACAATCCAAACAAACAAAAACGCCAGCTGGCCCTAACACTACACGCACAGCAGAACATCCCTTTCAAGGTCTCTCAATTGATTTCTCCTTCAGTGGTACTAAATCTAAAGACACCGCCCGTACACAGGATTACGAAGGAATAAACGGCGAAACAAGTTGGATTCTTATCTACAGGCGACACACGACTCTCAAAAGCGTCACCTATTACCTGGCTTCAAAAGTTCCTTGAAACTAAYRCACCAAACTGTTCTGACAAATACGTCCAAATGGACCAAGGCGGAGAACTCTACCATAACCCTGAAGTGCGAAAACTATTTACTCGCCACGGTTATCAGCTCCGACCAACAGGTGCTGACTCCTCTCACCAAAATGGCCCCGTCGAACGCGCACATCAAACCGTCTGTGATCGCATACGATGCCTTCTCTCAGGCGCCCGCCTCCCTATCAAATTTTGGCCTTATGCTTTTCATCATGCTCTTCGTATTTTAAATGCAATCCCTCAACGTACGCAAACTCAATCACCTCTGCAACTYGTCACGGGAAAGAAAGAAAACCTACGCAATTTCAAAACTTTTGGCTGCCGCGTTTGGGTTCGCCCACCTGGTCGAAGATCCGCAAAATTCAAGAATAACTCTCGAAAAGGAATCTTCCTTGGCTACCTACCTCAAACCACAAAGAACATCTTGTGGTATGATATAGAAACCGATTGTGTTAAAATTTCTTCTCACGCTCGCTTCGACGAAGGCATGAACGACCTTCCCATCGATGCCATTCCTCCCAATATCATTCACTTGCAACGCTCTGAAAACGGATCACCAATACCACCCGATGACTCTGAAATTGAAGATATTGACCTAAACTTTCATATCTCCCCATTTCADGACATCATGACGAAAGAAATTCAAGTCAAATGCAACAGCCCGACCTTCGGTCTCCAACTAGACCAGGACGAATGAAACGGCCGAGTCTTTCTCAAAGACGTCACAAAGAAATCAAGTGCTGCGACAATGTTTTCCAGCTGGAAAGCGACACGCAATAAAGTTTGTGGTGCATGCATCGTATCCATCAATAATCACCCGGTCTTTGACAAACAGTCTGCTCTAAATGTTCTCGAATCCTTAGTGGCGAAAGGCACAACAGAATTCGAAATCAAATTTGCCCCTGTTACAAAAGCATCCAGCGTTCGCAGATGGAAAGAAATTGACAAATATAATTTACATGCGCCGACCGACAAATTCAATACGACGGCACAAATAAATTATGCCGCTCTTCGAGCGATCACCGCAATACGAACAGGTACACACATTCCTCCCAACATTGTTTCCGATGACATGATTCGATTGGTCATCAATGCCCTTACTTCGCAAACCACAACAAAGGATGAAGAAGCCCTTGGCCACTTCACTCGCCGAAAGCTCAAGCAACTTGATAACTGGAATGAATGGCTAAATGCGGAACGCAAACAATTAGATCAATTTCACGATCTCGAGATGTACGGAAAACCGACCCCTCGCCCTCCAAAATCGATCCTACTTCGACCTCACTGGCAATACCAAGTTCGCAAAACTGGTGAACGACGATCTCGAAACTGCTGCGACGGATCCAAACGATCCGCACCATTGCTACATGCAATTGCATCAACTTACTCCTCATGCGTCGAACAACCAGTACAACGCCTATTCTTTGCCCTCACCGCTATCCTCAACTACAAACTATACGCTGGAGATGCCAAAGACGCATACGCTCATTCGCCACCCCCCGAAGTCCCTACCTTTGTCGCTATCGATGGTCAATATGCYGACTGGTATAAATGGAAATTTAATGAGCATCTCGACCCAACACACGTTCTCCCCGTGCAACACGCTCTYCAAGGTCACCCTGAATCCGGTCGCCTCTGKGAAGAACATATCAACAAAATTCTTTTCTCCAAAGAATTACGGTTCACGACAACGACACATGACAAATGTATCTATCAAACAACATACAAAGACACCAAAATACTTATGTTACGTCAAGTCGATGACTTCCTCATCTCATCTCCGAATGCCACCCTGGCAAATGAAATATACGACATTATCGGCAAGAAACTCCAACTTCCAAAMRAAAAGAATATCCCTTTCAAGAATTTAGGACTTGCCACATCATATAATGGAGTTGACATCAAACAAACCAAACACTACATTGAAATTTCTTGTGAAGACTATATCGACTGTGTCGCACGATCCCATGGATGGACAACACCTAAAGACGAATTACTCAGTCATCCAACTGCTCCCCTCCCCGAAAAGGCATTGGACAAAATCTTCAAAGAAGACGGCCCTCCTGAAGGATCGCCAGAACACAAGAAACTCAAGGAACAACATGGGTTCCCCTACCGCACACTGCTTGGCGAAATCTTGTACGCCTACAATGTTTGCCAACCCGATATTGGTTTTGCTGTTTCGACCATGTCCAAATTCTCGTTGGCACCTTCCGATTTACATTTTAAATATCTCAAAGGTGTCGCCTTATACTTACGACGAACCAAAACATGGGGACTACGATACCGCAAAACAAACATCCTCGATGACGACAAAATCCCTGATGGCACGTTTACCGATTCCCCAATTCCCTTGCCAGATAATCTTCCACCGTTTCCGTCG